TATATAAACACATGTAACTTCCATGCTCGGATTTTAGCTCAGTACAGCGCAGTGGCGCCTCAACACTTTGATCCTCTTTTTTCCTCTCTACGAATGCCAGTCGCGCCATTCTACAGCATGGTTTGGTCTCCTTTGTTATGCTTTCTTTCGTTCTTCGTCGTGTTTCTGGACTGGAGTCTCGCACTCTGTCGCCCAGGCTGGGAGTGAGTGGCGCGATCCGTTGGCGCTTCCCTGGGCAAGCCCCACCTCACCGGGTTCACACCATTCTCCCTGCCTCAGGCACTCCCGAGTAGCTGGACTACAGGCGCCCGCCCACCACACCCCTGGCCAAATTTTTTTGTATTTTTAGTGAGACAGGGGTTTCACCACTGTTAGCCAGGATGTCTTGCGCGCGACCTCCCTCACCCGTCGTGATTCCGCCCCCTTGGCCTCCCCAAGTGGCTGATTCAGGCCCTGACCACCCGCCGCGCCCGGCCCCATTCTAGCATGTTTTAAGTGAAATGCTCTATTCTTAGAATTCTTCAAGATAACACAAAACCTCATTTCCTAAAAGCCGTTTCATTTTGTACCCTCTGTATTGTTCTGACAGCTGTGTGCTCTCCCTCTTGCAGAGCAACCGGCTGACCAAGATCGAGGGTCTGCAGAACCTGGTGAACCTGCGGGAGCTGTACCTTAGCCACAATGGCATCGAGGTCATCGAGGGCCTGGAGAACAATGTAAGACACCCACTGTCTGTCTGGGGCTGTGTGGGCGGTGGGCACCAGGTGGGCAGGCACCTGGCCAGCCAGCACACACTGGCCTCTTGGGCCAGTGTCAGGAAGATGCCCTGCCTCTGGAGGTTTATCAGAAAGACCTTCCCATCCTAAAAACTAAGGGACCCCTCCTTACACTGAAAAGCGCAGGAGCTGTGTGTGCCTGTCGGCCCTCTGCCCTGAGTGTGCCTTGAAGGGTTGACGCTTTATGTGGAATTTCAGCACAGGCTTCCATAGGCTCCCTCAGTGGGGCAGCATCCACTGCACACCCACCGTCACTGCAGGCATTTTGCAGGATTTGAAAAAAAAAAACCCAACCTGCTCATAAAGGGCCCTGTATGAGGGTGACTGGCACTCCTCTAGGCCACTGACCTTCTGCCCATGGCCCCACTGGCCTCAGCCCCTACTTTCCAGCCCACAGAGAGCACAGGACCAGCTCTCAGTCCCAGCCCCCTCCTCCTCTTACAGTATGAACAGCTTCCTCCTCCCCCATTCCGCACTGCCTGCTGTCTACACCTGGCCATGCTCCTCCCGCCCTCCCTGGCCCTTCTCACTCAGGTGCAGGACAGCCTTACATACTGAGTGGAAGTGTGCTCACAGAGCCCCCACCCTCCTCAGCTGCCTCCAGCTCACCCTACTCTGCCCCAGTGCAGTGTTCAAGACAAATAAAAGACTTTTTCTCATTCAATTTTACTTGTTTTTTTCTGTTTTGTTAAATTGCCATCAAATATAACCAGATTGGTCTGTAAACATAGTGTTTCAATCTCATTAGGCCTTTGTGCCTCAACCCCAGGGCCTAGTTGGCATCAGTAAATTTCACCAACACCTGCATAAAATTTTGGAAAAATTCACATTTGCCTGTGGAAAGTTTAGTCACCTTCCTTTGACTTTGCACTGAAATTAAAAGTTTATAAAACTAGCATGCAAACCAAGTGTTCACCTGTGTGGTTTAGAGACATGCCTGCAGTGGAATGGCGCTGAGGACTGTGTGGCAGGGGCTGGGGTTGGGGCTGGGCGGGGTGCGCAGCAGGGAGCCCTGGTGCCCTCCTGCACCCTGGCCTCCCCGAGCCAAGGCCCCGCAGTCTCCACCAAGCGTCCACCGGGAGACAGACAATCCGCAGCACAGTTCAAATAAGCAGCCAGTCCCAGGAAAACTGGAAAGAAGTATAACTCAGAATTTTACCAGTGGAAGTGCTACACTGTCATCTTGGTTAACCACCAGATTATTCTTGGGCCTTTGAAACAAAACAGAAAAAAAAAAAAAAAATGCTTGTATTAAAGGTAATGACGTTATTGTAATCTTCATCGTGATCAAATGTAACAGTCTTTCCTCTGCCATTTTTTTCAACTAAAGATCAGACAAATATTTTCTCCTAAGTTTTGTTTCTTAATTTATCTGGAATTTATTTTTATGGTGGGAAATAAAGTAAATGTAGTTTTGTCCCAGATGGGAATTTAGATGACGCCCCCCAACCCAGTGTCTCATGACTCCTGTCTCGTTCTGCAGTGTCTCCTCCAGCTCGGGGCTCTCCTGTTGGTCTAGAATATGTTTGCAGTGGTCCCTGACAGGTGTCGTTTCTGTGGCGTTGTGTCATGCCCTTTGGTGTGCCTGCTCTCCTCACCCTGTTCCGTTCTTTTTTTCTATTTCTTAAGCAGTTCTTACTAGTTTGCTTTGGATGAGTTTTCACAACATTGTCCAACTCCCCTAGAAAAACGTGAAATAGTGTTGAGTGCATACCTGGATCCCTGAACTCAGAGATGTGGTACCGGTTCTGACAGCCAGAGCCCACCACCAACTCTGCCCCTCGTGCTGAGCCTTAGTACTTGGACCTCACGAGTCTCAAATCCTGCGTGTGTTCCAGGCCACTTTCATTTTGCCAGTTTCTGGGCTTGCATACCAGATGACCATGAGCATCTCAGAACGGTGCAGAGTGTGGGGGAGAGCTGCTGTCTGCTAGAGAGGCCTGTTCCAGCCCCACCGCCAGGCGATGTGTTGTTGGATTGCCCACGGTCGCGTCCTCTGCAACATTTTCCTGCAGTCCTTTTGCTCTGAACCTGCCCCACTGAGCTCTTCCCTCGCACACTGTGGAGCCTGATACTCTGTGAGCAGACCTGACCAGGGCACCAAGATGGGGTGGTTTGAAGGCACCTCCTAGGTAGCATGCCATGCATAGCCTGCTGGAGAGTGGCATCAGAATTGACACACACAGCTGGTGCCAGCTGGCACGCTGGGTGCCAAGGCAGCAAGGGTGGCATAGCCAGAGAAGCTCCCAGGCCACAGCCATAGTGCTTTCGAATTGGGCAAGCTACTGGCTGGGTACGTTTCGAGGAGATGGGGGGAGGAGTGTCTGCTTTTGAGACATTTTTTAACTTTCCCTTAAAACTTGGAAGGCTTTGGAATTGGAATACCAAAAATGCAGTAGAAAACCAAGGAAGGGACTAGGAAGGAGCAGAGCGTGAGGGCAGAGAAGGGAATGAACTTTGTCAGAGGTTCTCGGACAGCTTGTAAACATTTTCGTTTTGATGAAAAACAAAAGTATTACCCAGGCTTAGATAATGTGTATTGGAAAGTGAGTAACTGATGTGCATTTTCAAAGTAAAAGATCCTAAAAACACACTTTTGTCTCCCGGTGGGGGCACACACCCTGCAGCAGATGCTCAGCAGGCCCAGCACCCAGTCCTCAGCACCCAGTCCTCAGCACCCAGTCCTCAGCACGGGTCTTTTCTCTGCACTCATGCTCCTGGCAGCCTCTTCCGAGACAAGAGTTTAGACATGGGATCCGAGAGTCCTGCCTTTCCCACTGCTACTATGCACGTGGGCAGATTCTTAGCCCCACTGAGCCCCAAGTTCCTCATCCCTAAATGAAGGGAGGAACTTTGTTTTGAAGATTACTTGGTCGTACATTTCCTTGTGATGAGCACTAAGTAAATGTAACTACAATTGTCAGCCTTTCTTCAGAGCGTCAGGGGGTTACTTGGTTCTTCCTGGGACCATCAGTCTCACCAGGGGCCTCAATGGACAGGGATCTGAGAGCACTGGGCTTGGAGTCTGACACAGTCTCAAATTCCAGCGATCAGGAGAGCTCAAGGAGGTAGCTGGGCAGGCTCTGATGGAAACACTGTCCCAGGGAGGGCTGCAGGAAGCAGGCAGGTCTCGTCACCCTCCATAGCATGCCCTTATCCTGTGAGGGCAGAGAGGGTAGTGCACCTGCAGCCCTAAGGTCAGCACTTGACACTGCCTGTGTGGTCATGCAAATCACGTTGGTCAGAGGTAATCCAGGAAACATTTTATTTCCTTTTAGAACAAACTCACGATGTTGGACATTGCATCAAATAGAATCAAAAAGATTGAAAATATCAGCCATCTAACAGAGCTGCAAGAATTCTGGGTAAGTTTGATATACGCTGGGGTTGATGACACTTCGACTAAACTGGTCTCGCTGATTAAAATGTCGTATGAGTGAATACGAGAATCTCCTGTAAGCCTTCCTGCTGAGTGGCTCCGTCCCGCCATGAGATTTGGGGTGAGTGCCTTTGTAGACTTGTGTTGGGTGTTGTCTGTGCTCCTCAGAGCATGAGCCACAGATCAGCAGCCTTGACATAGCTTGTAAGAAATGCAAAATCCTGGGCCCCACCATAGCCCAGATGCAAACTGAGTCAAAATCTTTGCTTTACAAGACTCCAGGTGATTGCAGTACACACAGAGGTTGGAGAAGCCCTGATCTAGGTATGGGTAGAACCTAAAATTGTCATTTGACCAGATGGTTTCCAAACCTCAGCAGAGAGGCAGACACATTCCCTGCAGCTATATTCCAGCACCACAAAAGGAAATGTTGGATGGGTTTCTGCAGTTAGCCATCTTGGAATTTGCCTTGTATTTGTCTCGTCACAGGTATGGTTTCAGGAGTAGCGTTGTGGTGTCAGCAGGAAGAGAAACAATATAATAAGTTTTTGCACTTCCTCTAAACGGGTTGGGAAATGATCCCCGAGTTGAAGTCTTCAGTATTAGGATTCCCCTGGAGAATTCTCCTAAGGCTTATTGCCTTTCCCCTAGCATGTGGCCCCTGCAGAGATTATGGCACAGGTGTCACCCTGTGATGCTGTGAATGTAGTAGTGTCCTCAGATACATTCAGTCTAATCCAGGATTCATGCGGAGTGTAAGGCATCATTCTTCCTTGTCTCTCCTCTAGCTGTGCTGCTGACCCTGCTTATGTCCTGTGCGTTCTCTTTTCCCCATCTTAAAAGGTCATCCAAGTTTCCCTAGAACACAGATGGCCTGCTGCAAATGTTCCTTGCCCCTTATTGGTGGCATTGGGTCTTGAGTAGTGTCATGATGTGATACCAGAGCATGTCTGGGAAGATGCGAGTCAGAATTTGGCAGATGATAAAGATGTCCCAGGCCAGGGGGAGCCTCAGTGAGTCCAGGTGGGTCTATGTGCAGCCCACCCTTGAAGGAAGGTGTGGCTGGTGGGAGGCTGGTTGGATCAGCGCATAGGGAGCTGGCAAAGAAGCCAGGGAACCACACAAAGAAACCAAACAACAGGAATAAGGAGTCCAGAGACAGAGGACCTAGGTAATAGGGAAAGGGCACCTGGCAAAAAATTAGGGAGCAGGTTTGGGAAATGAGCTGATACGGAAGCAATGTTCCTGAAGCTTACGATTCCTTCTGCATGCCCTGCCAAGGAACAGAGCATGGGGCACACAGTACTGAGACCACAGGCAGGGGCCAACCTGGGCACCACAGCTAGCAGGGAGGCAGGCAGGCTGGTGATCCATCACTAGGGGCCAGATAGTGCCTGACCCTGTGACACAGAAGAATCCTGTTCCTTAGACCACCAAAAATAGTTAAAAAAAAAAAAAAAAAATAGCCAGAATTTGCACAGTGCTTTATAGTGTCTATACCTCTTTCCATTCTGATCCAATTATCACAGCAATCATGTGGATAAGATCATATTACCCCATTTTACAGGTAAAGAATTGCATTCCAGGAAGGAAAGCTGCAGACCAGGAACTCTCAAACTCAGTTCCATGCTCATATCACATTTGAGATGCACATCATTAGTCTCTAAGGCAGAAATAGAAAACCAGTCTTAAAGTTTCTGACAACCCAGATACTGTGTTTGTTGATTTTTCTCCCTACTTGTTCTGATTACTGAGAGGAGAATGTTGAAACCTTCCAATTATAATTGGCAGTGGATCCATTTCTCCGTTCAGTTCTATCAGTTTTTGTTTCTTGTATTTTGAAAGTCTGTTATCAGGTGCATACATATTTAGGATTGAGGATTTCTTGATGAATTGATCCATTTATCATGTGAAATGTTCTTCTTTATTGCTGTCCTCTTTATCCTTGTCCTGGAAGTATATCTTGTCTGTTATTAACATAGCCACTTCATCTGTCTTATGATTAGCGCTCTCATGGAATCTTTCTCCATCCATTTACTCTTAACCTGTGCCTTTATAATTAAAATGTGTTTTTTGTAAAAAGTATATAACTAGGTCTTGCTTTCTTGTCCAGTCTGACAATCTCTGCCTATAAGTGGTGTGTTTAGACTGCTTACATTTAATATAATTACATTTAATTACATTTTGTGAAATGGTTGAGTTTAAGTCTATCATCTTAGTATTTGTTTTTTATTTGTCTCATCTATTCTTTGTTTACTCTTTCCTGCCTACTTTTTGGAGTGAGATTTTTTTTTCAATTTTTGGCAGTCTATTTTAACTCTATTATTGGCTTATTTGCTATACCTCTGTACTAGTGTTTTCTTGTTGCTTGTTTGAAGGGAGGGTTGTTTTAGTGATTAGAATTTAAAAATGGATTTTTTTTTTTTTTTTTTTTTTTTTTGAGACGGAGTCTCGCTCTGTCGCCCAGGCTGGAGTGCAGTGGCCGGATCTCAGCTCACTGCAAGCTCCGCCTCCCGGGTTCCCGCCATTCTCCTGCCTCAGCCTCCCGAGTAGCTGGGACTACAGGCGCCCGCCACCTCGCCCGGCTACTTTTTTGTATTTTTTAGTAGAGACGGGGTTTCACCGTGTTAGCCAGGATGGTCTCGATCTCCTGACCTCGTGATCCACCCGTCTCGGCCTCCCAAAGTGCTGGGATTACAGGCTTGAGCCACCGCGCCCGGCCTAAAAAATGGATTTTTAATTTATCACCATCTGTATATTTTACATTTAAATATCTTATGATCCCCATGATACCTTATCTTTTAAAGAAATTTAAAAATGGCCAGGCACAGTGGCTCATGCCTGTAATTCTAGCACTTTGGGAGGCCGAGGTGGGTGGATCACCTGAGATCAGGAGTTTGAGACCAGCCTGGCCAACATGGTCTGTCTCTACTAAAAATATAAAACTTAGCTGGGCACGGTGGCACATGCTATAGTCCCAACTACTCAGGGGCTGAGGCAGGACCATCACTTGAACCCAGGAAGTGAAGATTGCAATGAGCCAAGATCGCGCCGCTGCACTCCAGCCTGGGCAAAAAAGCGAAACTCCGTCTCAAAAAAAAAAAAAAGAAATTTAAAAACAAGAAAATTCACTTATTTTACCATTTCTGGCATTGTTGATTCTTTTGTGTGGATCTCAGTTTCCACTTGGTATTTCCCTTCCACCTGAAGAATTCTGTTTTTTTGTCGTTGTGTATTCTGCAGTAAACCAATCCTTCAGCTTTTATTTGTTTGAAAAATCTATTTAATTTGCCTGCATTTTTGAAGTTTAATATTATGGATACACAATTCTAGCTTGACAGGTTTTTTTTTTTTTTCCTTTTTAAGCACATTAAATACTTTATTCCTTCATCCTCTAGTTTGCATTATTTCTCCTTTATAAAATTTTTATTCTTTTAAAAATATTTTTTAAAAATAAATAGAGATGGGGCCGGACGTGGTGGCTCACGCCTGTAATCCCAACACTTTGGAAGGCCGAGGCAGGTGGATCACCTCAGGTCAGGAGTTTGAGACCAACCTGACCAACATGGCGAAACCCTGTTTCAACTAAAAATACAAAAATTAGCTGGGTGTGGTGGCACGTGCCTGTAGTCCCAGCTACGGGGGAGGCTGAGACAGGAGAATTGCTTGAATCCAGGAGGCAGAGGTTGCCGTGAGCCAGGATCGTGCCACTGTAGTCCAACCTGGGCAATAGAGTAACACTCTGTCTCAAAAAAAAAAAAAAGGGTGGGATCGTGCCATGTTGCCCAGGCTGGTCTCGAACTCCTGGGCTCAGACAGTCCTCCTGCCTCAGCCTCTTAAAGGGCTGAGAGTACAGGTGTGATCCACCACACATGGCCCTGGTTTGCATTATTTCTAATAAGTCAGCAGTCATTTTTATCATCTGTTTTCCTCTGGCTGCTTTTTAAATGGTCTTTTTAATCATTCTTACTTTGTTTCGTTTTTTGCAACTTGAATAGAATGTGCCATGGTGTAGTTTATTTTCTTGGATGTGTTAGGGTTCACTGGATCTGTGAATTTATGGTTTTCATCAAATGTGGAAAGCTTCTGGAAATTATTTTCTCTGAAACGGTTCCTGCCCCTGCTCCCCGAGCCCCGTTTCTCTCTGAAAACCCAGTTATGCATGTTCCTCTGGTGCTAGGGAGGCCCCGAAGCCGTTTCCTCCACCAGCTCCACCCCTTGGGCTTTCATCTTGCTGTGCTTGTTTGTATAATTTCTGTTGTTAAATCTTCAGATCATGATCTTTTCATCTGTAGTATCCTATCTGCTGTTAAGCCCATGTCATGAATTTTTTATTTCAGATGTTGTGTTTTTCTCAACTCTAAAAGAACATTTAGCTTTTTTTTTTTTTGGGGGGGGGTAGATTATTTTTCTCTCTTCATTAGATTTGTGTTTTCCTTTAAGTCCTTCCTTCTTCACGCCTTGTAATTTTTTATTAGATCCTGGGCTTTATGGTGTTCAATTGTTGAACGTCGAACTTATGTTGTTTTCCTTCAAAACATATTGGACTTTTTCTGACAGGCAATTAAGTTACAGCTTGATCCTTTTGAGGCTTGTTTTTAAGCTTTATTAGAGCACATCTAAATAGTCTATCCCGTAAGATTAATCTAGCGCTGTTTTGAAGCTGTGGCCCTCCTGGGATCTCTAGTGAAAATCCTGGGTATTTAAGTTCTCTCCACTGTGGTTGGTGGGAACACAAACATGGAGCTGCTGTGGGTGAGCTCTGGGCATTCTGCAGCTCGGGACTCCCTAGTCGTTCTTCGACCAGCCTTTAGCTTTTCATGCTGCCTAGCACAGCTTCATCTTCGGTCCAGGATTCAGGAGGACACCATGTGGATTTCTGGAGGCTTTTTCCCTACATAGCTCACTCCTATCTATGCATTCCAGCTCCCTTTGCCTCCCCAAACTACAATCACCATCTCAACTCGCTGTGGCCACCAAGCTCTG